GAGTCAACCATTTTGAATAATATTGCATGAGTTCCTTGTTTTTTAATGCAGCATAGTATTTACGTTAGCAAGTACAGAGGACATTTCTGTATTTTAAAGAGACATCACTTAATAATCCTATGAAGTAGGATGTCATATTTAACACTTTATGTTGCTGAAATTTTCATGAATGGTTTTTAAACATATGTATATGTTGTTTAGGTATATAGGTGGTGGTTTGTTTGTTTGCTTGCTTGCTTGTTTACTTGTGTTGTTCTTCTAAAATGGCCTTGTTTATGGAGCACTTTGAAATGATTTTCTAATTCATTAAATATCATATATTTTTAAGGATCAAAGACAATTTCTGTGCCATCAAACATACAGATGTGGGACTGGTAACTCCCTGGGAAATGGGAATAGAAGCAGGACTCTTACCTCTGTGCCCCCTGCCACCATCTCTTTCCCTCTTATCAGCTGGGAGCTCCGTTGACCTACTGGGTAAGGAGCTGCACAGCCAAACCAAAAGCACACAGTTTGAGTCCACTAGCTTCTCCTCGAGAGAAAGATGATCAGTTTCCTCCTATGTGATTTACTGTTCCTAAAAATCCACTGGAGGGTCAGCTTTGTATTGATTCTGACTCACCAGTACATAGCAAAAACAGTCAATGCAGAGGGGAGCTCAGGCAGCTTTGTCTGTAGCAAGTTGTCCTGCTTATTTGTAATGATGGTGACAGGCAGCCTTTAGCATAGGGTTAATTTGACCCTACTCTTAAGGCACTAACAAGGAGCCCTGGTAGAATTTCTCTGCTAACTCAGACTATTCTTGTTTTATGGTTCAAATCCACCAGCAGTATCACTGGAGAAAGGGGGCAATTTCCTCCCATGTAATTTACAGCCTGAGTGGAAGATCAGCTATGAGTTCCTTCCAACCCCAGAGATTCCAAACTACCAGTGACAGCAGGAGAAAGATGAGTAGTCTCCTCCTTCTGATTTACAGCCTCGGAAGCCCAGTGGAGGATCAGCTATGAGTTGGAACTAAGTAAATGGCAGGAAATTAAAGTCAATGCCAAGTCAAAGCCACATATATTCAAAGTCTGAGCCTCTGCCAGGTCATTAGCTTCTGTATCCCTTCGCCTTTACAGACTTCCACCCAAATGAAAGGAGCACCCAGTCCTTACCTTGGATGCTATATTCCCTCACCTACTTACTGTTCATGCCTCTCCAGCCTTCTCCCAAGCACAGGTAGTTCTCCAGGAAACAATGGCCAGAGTCAGGTCGAGCAAGCCAGTGCTCTTGGTAGCAGGCTGTGTAAGGGGTAGGTGAGTTGTCATTCTGGAAAACAATACAAGAACAAGACCTAGAAACAAATTGCTGGCATTTGCTAATTCCTTACCATGCCTGACATTTTAAACTTGCCAAGGTGCAGTCATTGAACCTGAAGTCTTTATAACAGCAGAGTTTAATTACAGGGGCCCAGAGGAATGTACAAAATGCCAAGTGTGTGGTCTAAGCAGCAAGTCAAATAGGGAATCAGAGAAGACTTCACAGGGTAGGGAATGTGGCCTGCTGTGACCTTTGTCAGCTTGGAAGCCTCAGTAGCCTTAACTCAGTATCAAAGTTAACAGAGATCACCTTAAGTCAGAGAGAGACTGTGAGCAAAACAGTGGTAGTCAGAAATGGTTTTTGTTTTGTTTTTTTGTTCTGTTTTGTTTTTGGAAATGTTTTGAACAGGGTCGTTGTTGTTGATTGCCTTCGAGTCGAGCAACACTCATAGCGACCCTATGAACCAAAGGCCTGAAACCCCTCTATAACTATTGACATTTATCAAAGTTCATAGAATTTCTGGAGGCATGTTGTTTAGGAAGTGGACATCACTCCTGTTAACGGAGCAGAGATTCCCCCAAAACATAATCATGTAGACATATCCTAAGCTGGTGGTGGCCAACCTCATCTCACCCTCCAAAAACTAATATGCAACTGGTATCTTCAATCTGTACATTTTAATATAGAAACTATTTTCACATAAGGGAGCTCTGGTGATTTAGTGAATAAGAAGTTGAATTGCCAACCCAAAGCCACACCGTTCTAATCCATCAACTGCTCCAAAGAAGAAAGAGAGATAATCTCTGTGTGATTTATAGCCTTAGAAAACCTGCTGAAGGGTCAGCTACGAGTGGGTTATAACTCGATGACACATAAAGACAACAAGTTGGACTTGGCAGGCTGAGTGGTGCAAACAGCTAAGAACTCTCAACTACTAGCTGAACATGGGTGGTTCGAGCCTTCATGGAGTCACCTGTCCTGATGATCAGCCTGGGAAGAGCACAGCCTTGAAAACCAATGTTGCCATGGGTCAGAATTGGAACTTCTAGGAGTAACTACAGCCACTGTACTAATAATACTTGAATGTCTTAGAAAACACATTACATTAAAGAGTATTAAAAGAAAACTTTCAAAACTTCAATCTCATTGCCCTCGAATAGAATGGAGCTGACCCTCCACTGGATTCTGTGACTGTAGAGCGTGTGGAAAGAGATTGTCCATCTTCCTCTGATAGACTTGAACCACTTTGCTAGCCTTTGGGTTAGCAGCACAACTCCCAGTGGACTACATCCCTAGCGCTCCTACCAAAGGAGATTTTAAAAAATTAATGTAAATAGCTGTTCTAGTATTTTCCCCTGCACCATGCTGCCCCACTGTGGAAAATACTGCTTTAGGAAACTGGAGGGGGAAAAGATTCAACTTCATCTGCTTTTAGAGGGATCATGACATTTCCATTTTATACTTTAATGATATTCCTTTTTGTGTTCTATGTAGGCTGGTCTGTGGTTTACTGGAGATGAAGAGATAAAAATTCCAGAAAATCCCCTTGAGCCCCTGCCCTTTAATAGGCAGGAACACCTGATAGAGGTAATTACTAAGATATTTTACTTTTATATATCTATTAATAAATAGAAGTATGTATGTGTATGTATATGTATATATGATTTTAGTATGATTTTAACACAAGTTTACAGAAAAGTTGGATTTTCATTTATTCATTGTTGCACATTTCCCACATCCCCTCCCTTCTTCCTCCCCCAAGCCACTTTGCAATGCACCTCTTATTGTGTATTGTTGTCATACATACAACACCTAATCCTGTATTCCTTCATAACGGTTCTTTCCCTCCTCTGTTCCAATGCATTGTTCATTAGCTACCCACTCTTTTCCCATTCTCCCCTTAGCAGTTCATATCAGTCCTGTTTTTATAACAGTGGTGTTATGCCATATTTGTCATTTTGTGACTGAGATATTTCACTCAGCATAATACCCATTATGTGTAATGTTTCACAAGTTGATTGTTTTTCAGTGCTGTGTACTATTCCGTGATTGTACCATAGTTTTTTATTTTATCCATTTGTTTGTTGATGAATAGTTGGGTTGATTCCATCTCTTTGCTGTTGTGAATAATCCAGCAATCAACATGGATGTGCATGCCTCTACTTGAGCTGCAGCTCTGGTTCTTTAGGGTCTTTTCCGAGTCGTGGAATTGCTGGGATAAGACCTTTAAAAATGTATTGCAATGCTGCCAATCACCTTCTTTGTCTTTCCTTCCCCTTGTGAAGTTTGTTTTGGATTCATCCTCTTCAGTTCCTCAGTTTTATCCCCAAATGCAGATTTTGTGGTCACAAAGGATGCTTTGAGGAAGATCTCAGGGGAAAGGAAGGCCAGGGGCTTCAGCAGAGTCCCATTATCCATGTGATGCTGGACAATTCCCACAGCCTTTCTGGGTCTCCTTCACTTTCCTCATCTGTCAAATAAACTAATATGTTCCTCAGAGCTTTTGTCTCTAAGAGCCTTTCCAAGCCTAAAAGCTTAGGATAAGGTTCTGCTATTTCTCTGATCTCTGTTTTGTCTCTTTCATTTTGACCAACTGTGCAGCATACCATGGGTTTGCATACAGAACTGCTCCAGGCCGCTTAGAGCTTGCTGTTCTCGATATTCTTATGACTAACTCTGTTATCATTGTTTGCTTGTATATAAAGTCTCAAAACTACTTTGACTTCTGGCAAATCTTTAAAATGTAGAAATAGACCAAATTCGATAAGACGTGAGGGACTCAAACGGTACACTTGGACATTGCGGCCAACTAGACATAGTATCATATTGATTGTCCAATTTCTTGCCAGCCATTAGTTCCAAATTGCAGTTGTTGTTATGTGCTCTCGAGTCACTTACGACTCATAGCGACCCTATGTACAAGAGGCCTAACCCCTGCTCTGTCCTGTGCCAACCTCACCATCTCCGACACACCTACTTCCATTACACCAATCACTGAATCAATCTATCTCCTCAAGATTCTTCCTCTTTTGCACCGCCCTCAAACCTCTCAAACATAATGTCCATCTCCAAGGATTGGTCCCTCCTTGCAACATGCCCAAAGTATGTACAAAACTGAATGCTGTTCCAGTTATAACCTTAAAGTGAGCCATTTCTCCGAACCAGACGTGTACATTTTTTTTCTTAGCACGTCTGCTTCATGATAGCACATGGAGAAAGGAAAGTGTTGGGGTGTTTCTTATTTGTTAGTTTGTTGGGGTTTTTTGGTGTGTGTTTTGTGTTTGTTTTTCTTTTAAATTGACCAAGAGAAAAAAATTGGTAGTTGACAAGGAGGTTTTGTTTTGTTCATTTTTGGTATTTGGTGGTTTCTTTTGTGAAACTGAAGGACCAAGATAATTCTCCTGAATTATCTTGATATTTTGTCAGAATATCCGCCAACCTCATCATCAGGCTCTTAATTACTGGACAGCACTGGCACGCTGGCAGCTTCAATATGTCACCACGTGTAAAGCGCTGTCTCTATTTGCATCCGTTTTGAGCAGTGAGGCTGGAAGGTGAGCCTTTCAGCTGCTCACCTGCACTCTATGTCCAGAAGGCTGACTTTAGAAACAGTGAGACATGGACAGGGGCGTTCCAGCAGGTAAAGAGGCAGGGTGTGGCTCCCACCCACTATGTCCAAATGGCTGGAAAATCAGGAAAAAGGAAGTGTGGGGAACAGAAGTTAGTTCATCTCATTAAAACTCACTACGGAAGAGTCAGCTCCCCCTCGTAAGGAACTAACTTCTAGAACTGCCTTGCACAGCTTCCAAGGCCGTAATCCTTGTCTAAGCCAATAGGCAGACATCTTTCTCCTATAGAGCGGTTAGGGTGTTTGAGCTGACAAACTTTGGGTTAGCAACCAAGTTCTTAATCACTATGATACCAGAGACTGAGAAAGAAGTGTTTTTTATGGGGCAGAAGATGACTCGTTTAGGGCTCGAGAGAGAAGGAAGTTTGATGATTGTAGGAGATGATGGTTGTGGTGGAATGTCTTAAAGGTATCAAAGAAGGGTATCTCACTGCCCCAGGGTTTAGACACTTTGCATTATTGAATCCTCAAAGATCTTACCCTGGGATTTAAAGTGCCACCCTGCCTCTTAGCTCCGCTGATTATAAATTGGGAGCTTTATATAGCGCTCCATACACATGAGATCATACACAAACAGATCATACAGATCATATGGGTCATACAGAGATCATACACATGCTACTGTTAGAAGCAGTGTTAGGACAGTGTCTTGGCTAAGCAGAAACTAGCCATGTTAGCCAAACAGGTTACGCAGTGGTTAATGGCTGACCTGCTAAAGAAGATATTTAAAGGGGAAAAAAAAATCTAAACAACAAAACTGTACTCTGGCCATAATTTAATAGGAAAGACCAAATCAGGAAAATGGAATGCCCCTGTGAATTGAGGGTCCTGGGAGTGGGGAACCAGGGGTTTTTCCAGGACTCAGTTTGGGATGGTCCTTCATCTTTCCCCTTCAAAGCCTTGTTCCCTGTAAGGAGAGCATGGGTGGAGTCTCGGCTTTGGCCAGCTCCCATGCTTCATTACCAGTGCCCTCTGCCCTCTGTCATTTGGATCCTGCCCCTGACTCACATCCTGTGGGGCCTCCTGACAATGAGCTCAAGCCACCATTCTTAGGCCTGGATGACCTTACAGTCCCAGGGTGAACCCCAAAAAGGAAACATGAGACAACTCTGTGTTGCACCCCATCATTGTTCCCTGATGGTGACAGTGCACTTCCTTGTGACTGACCTGGGTCCTGGCTGGCCAGTTTCCCACCACCTCTGCACCAAGAGCATCCTTTCCGCTATTTAGAAATCCTGGGAGGTGTTTCTTAGAAATGTGGCTTGTACTTTGGCATATGGGAACTCACAAACATTGCCCTTGTCTCTTCCAGCCATTTCTGTCCATGTGAAAGCTTATAGCATCCTTTCATTCCCTTTGGCTCATTAATATTTGTTAAAGCCAGACTTGTGGTTTTAGATGCCATCTATTTGCTGATTAATTTCAAATGACCATCTCCACCCCCACCTATATTCCCAACTCTGTTGTTGTTGTTGTCATTCTGTGTCATTGAGTCACTTGCGACTCATAGCAGCCCTATGTACAACAGCCCTAAACCCTGCCCTATCCTGTGCCGATCGCACTGTCTCTGACACACCTACCCCCATTATCTCAGTCACTGAGTCAGTCCATCTCATCGAGGGTCTTCCCAGCTCTAGGCTGCCTAATGAATTTCTCCACTTGAAATATTTCTTGTTGTTGTCATTGTTAGATGCCATCAAGTCCACTCTAACTCTTGCAAACCTGTGAACAGCAGATCGGGACTGTACCTTTCCCTACACCATCCTCTAAACCTCCCACATGATCTAGTCCGTTGTGCAGTCACTGTGTCAGTCCACTTCGCTGAGGGTCTGATCCTCTGCTTGTCCCAGTATGATGTCTTTTTCCAAGGAATGTCATTTTTCTCCCAACAACTTTCCCAAAAGCATGTGAGACCAAGTTCTCCCATACTTGCCTCTAAGGAGCACCCTGGTTGCTCTTCTTCCAAGATACACATATTTTGGGGTACTTTTGCAGTCCAGGGGGTATTCAGTACTCTTCTCCAACACCACAGTTCAAAGCATCAATTATCAATTCTTCTGTCATTTTTTTTCTTTTTTAAAACATTTGTAAATGTATTATTAGTTATACCATCATTCAATGTAAAACAATTATTAATATACATTGTTTCATTCATGTACATTTAGTTTTATGCAGTCATTTCTTTACTTTGTCCTGTGTGTTTTATACTAATTTATTTACAAAATTTGAAAACATTGTTTTTTACAAAAGATCCTTCCCATTTCCTTCACCCCCCCACCCATCGAATTGTACAACCCTATCATTACCTCTCTATCCCCCCATCCACCCCTGGCCCATCCTCCACCCTCTATCTCTGTACTTCCCCTGCCTTGGATCCTCATACTCATTCTCCTGTCATTTTCATTCATTATCCAACTTTCAGGTGCATAGAAAGTAAGTGAAAAGATCATGTCTGGGATTGGGTGCACCTTAGTCTTTAAACTGACCTTAATGCTATTTAGCACTTTAGATAGTACTTAGTTGGGACCAAAACCTGGATGTCTGATCTCCCTTCCTTCTATCTAACTCTTATCTTCCTCACCTAAAATCTCTTGTATCGGAATCGATGACACTTCTACAATTGCCAGATCCAAAAGCCGAGGTTGTTGCTGTTGTTGTGACTATGGCTCAGAGTGACACTCTGAACAGACCTGAACCTTGTGCTGCCCTGTGCCGTCCTCACAACCTCACACAAGCTCAAGCCTGTTGTTACAGTCACTGGATTGTTCCATGGTGTTGAGTGAGGGTCTTGCTCTCTTTCTCTCCCCCTTCTCCTTTCTCAGAATGATGTCATTGTCGAAGAACTGGCCTCGCCCCTGCTGACATCCTAGGAGTCACTCCCAATTTTTTTTTCTCATCTCCAGTATACACATACAAACATGATAGCTCTACATTCAAAATATGGTGAGAATCAGGCCACTCTTCACCAGTCCTACAGCTGCCACTTGAGCAACTTGCAATGATTTCATGTAGATTTCTGCAACAGCCTCATAATCAGGGAGCATCATCACGAATCAGCTTATGCTAACCCTCCTCAAACCCTTTCAGCCAGCTACTGAGTGCATCAAACACGTGTACCACCCAGAGACTCCGTTGTATAACTACCTCTATCCCATGGACTGCCAAGAGAACAAACAAGCCTGTCTTGAAAAATGTACAACCAGAGTTTTCCTTAAAGACACAGACAGTGAAATATCACCTTACATACTTTGGGAATATTGTCAGGAAAGGCCAGTCCTTGGAAAAGACATCATACTGGGAAAGGCAGAGGGTCAGAGAAAGAAAGCAAGAATTTCAACAGGTGGACTGACAAAGTATCTGTAACAATGACCTTGATCATGAGGATGGTAAGGGATAGGGCAAGGTTCAGATCTGCTGTTCACAGGGTTACCTAGGAGTTGTAGTCTACTCTGTGGCCCCTAACAACAACAGCCTGATGAGGTTGTGGGTTGAATTCGCAGAAGGTCAATTCTTAGAGGAGTTCTTGCTGGCACTGTCTGTCTGCGGACAACCTGGTTGTACCAGTTTTTATCTCTGACTGAATGCTTTCCATTGACAGTTTTTCTTCCGGCTGTTTACTGACTACGAAAGAGATCCACCTCTGCTTGACTACACGCAGATGCTGCTTTATTTTGCCTGTCATCCGAATCCTGTGGAAGGAGTCTACAGGGCCCTCAGTGTGGCTACTGGGACTCACATCTTCCGGAGAATCAAAACCCCTCCACCAATTGTAGAAAAGGTAATAGTCTTCTAGAAATGGGCTAACACTGGTGTCTCAAGCGGGATGCCAGAAGATCCTAAACTCTTAGTAACAGAGCCTTTGTATCTTTATGTTTACCCAGGTGTCTTACTAAAGGCCAGAAGCTTTACTTAAGAAGAGCAGTAAGTTGTTATTTCTGGTTTCACATGAGCATGACTAAGTATTCTGAGATTACCATTATTCTCAATGTTAGCCATAATTTATTATGATCTACACAGTCAAATGTCTTTGTGTAATCAATAAAACACACATGAACATCTTTCTTGGTTGTGCCAAGAAATCTGGAGGACTACTACCTGGCCAACTGACTGGAAGAAATCCATATTTATTTCTCTCCCAAAAGAAGTGATTCAACAGAGTGTGAAAATTATTTAACAATATCATTAGAATCACAAACAAGCAAAATCCTGCTGAAGATTATAAAAAAAATGACTGGAACAGTATATTAATAGAGAACTACCAGAAATACACTCTAGGTTTAGAAGAGTCCATGACACCAGAGACATCATTGCCAATGTCTGATGTGTCCTGGCTGAAAACAATGAGTATCAGAGTCTATCTAGGCTTCAGTTTATTTCATTGACTATTTGATCACAACAAATTGTGGCTAACTTTGAGAAGAATGGGAATCCCAGAATACTTGATGTGCTCAAGTGAAAACGATACTTGGACTAGGAGACGATAGCCAGAGCAGAGCAAGAAAATATGGTTCAAAATTAAAAAGAGTCAATCAGGGATGCATCCTGTCTCCATGCCTTCTCAATCTGTATATGTAACAAATCATTTAAGAGGATGGACTTTGTGAGGAGTAGTGTGGCATCAGGATTGGAGGAAGACTCATCAATAACCTGCATTATGCAGATGATACAACCTTGGTGAAACTGAGGAGGACCTGAAGCATTTGCTGCAGAAGGTCAAGGACTGTAGTCTTCAATATGGATTGAAGCTTAACATCAAAATGACAAAGATTCTCACTCCTGGGCCAATTGACAGCACTATCATGGATGGATCATTTAATCCATCATTTAATAAAGGATGCTTTGGGCAGAATATTAAATGATCCAGGAATTATTAAAAGAAGATGGAAGAAATATACTGAGTCATTATATAGAAAGGAATTGGCAGATACAGAAGAATTTAATGAAATAGCATATGAGCAAGAGCCTATGGTGATGAAGGAAGAAGTTCAAGCTGCTTTGAAGGAAATAGCAAAAAATAAGGCC